AACCAAGTTCCTTGGCATAGTAGCTCCTCCAAGATCGGGTCCATGTCTATATCTCTAGAGCTTGGACTCTGGGGTCAGAAAGACCTGATCTTTGTCTCAGATTTTCCATGCACTAGCTATATGACCTTGGGCAACTACTTAGTTTTCTCCTTTGAAAAACAGGGCAACCATTGGGGTTTAGGAAGATTGAATGGATTGATAAAAATAAAACATTTAGCATTTTAGTTGACCAACAATAAGTACCAAGTAAATGTTAAATTGTGGTAATGATCAAAGAAAAAACAAATAAATGGAGAGAGAGTTCATATTCATGGATAAGAAAACTTAATACTGTCAAGATGTCGGTTCTTCCCAACTTGATCTATAGATTCAATGCACTCCCTACCAAAATCCTAACAAGTTGCTTTTTTGATTCTGAAGAATCTCCACAAACTGATTCTAAAGTTTAGAAGACCTAGAATAGTCAACATAATTTTGAAGGAGTACAAAGTTGGAGGACAGACACTCCAACTTCAAGACTTACTATAGAGCTATAGTAATTAAGACAGTGTGGTATTGGTGAGAGAATAGACAAATAGATCAATGAAACAGAATACAGAGCCCAGAAATAGACCCAAATAAATATTTATTTGGGTCTTTGACAAAGGTGTAAAGATAAACACAATGGAGCAAAGATACTCTTTTCAACCAGTGGTGCTGGAACAACCAGACATCCAACAAGCAAAAAAAATGAATCTAGACACAGACCGTGCACCCTTTACAAAAATTAACTCAACATGAATCACCGACACAAATTTAAAATTTGAGTAAAACTATAAATTTCTGCTCTGCAATAAACATTGTCAAGAGAATGAAGAGATAAGCCACAGACTGGAAGAAAATGTTTGCCAAAGACACATGTCATGAAGGACCGTTACCCAAAAATACAAAGAACTCTTGAAACCCCACAATAAGAAAATAAACAAACCAATTCGATATGGACCAAAGACCTTAGCAGACACCTCATCAAAGAAGACATACAGATGGCAAATAAGCATATGAAAAGATGCTCCACATCATATGTCATCAGAGAACTATAAACTAAAACAACAATAAGATACCACTACACACACATTAGAAGGGCCAAAATCTGGAACACGGACCACCCCAAATGCTGGTGAGGGTGTGGAGCAACACGAACTCTCCTTCGTCACTAGTGGGAATACAAAATGGCACTGCCACTTTGGAAGATGGTTTAGCGGATTCTTACCAAACTGAATGTACTCTGACTATACAACCCAACAGCCACAGTATTTGGTATTTACATAAGGGCAATGAAGACTTATCTTCACACAAAAATCTGCGCACAATGTTTACAGTAGCTTTATTTATTATTGCCAAAACTTGGAAAGCACCAAGATGTCCTTCCAAGGAGATGAATGGATAAATAAACTGCGGTACATCCAGACAATAGAATACTATTTAGCCCTAAAAAGAGATGAGACATCAAGGCATGAAAAGACATGGATGGAACTTAAATACATATTACTAGGTGAAAGAAGACAATATAAAAAGGCTACATACTGTAAGATTCCAACTCTATGACGTTCGGGAAAAGGCAAAACTATGGAAACCATAAAAAGACCAGTGGTTGCCATGGGTTTGGGGAGAGGGAGAGATGAACAGGCAGAGAATAGAGAATTTTTTAAGGTAGTGAAAATATTCTGTATGATACTAGAATGATGGATACATGCCATATATTTGTTCAAACTCATAGAATGTACAACCCCCAAAGTGAAACCTGACGTAAACTCTGGGCTTTGGGTAATGATATGTCAATGTAGTTTCGTCACTTACAACAAACGTACCACATGGGGGGATGTTGATATTGGGGAAGGCTGTGCATGTGTGGAGACAGTGGGATAGGGCCTCTGTACTTTTTCTCTCAATTTCGCTGTGAACCTAAAAGTGCTCTCAAAAAAATAAAGCCTCCCAAGAAAAAAGTTATGGTATCGGCAATAATGGTTATAGCCATAATAGTAGTTCTGGTGGTAGTGGTGTGGTTATCCTCTTCCTTCACAGGTTCTGTTTCTTCCTTTACCAAAATCTTGACACTCCCTGAAACCAGAGCCCTTTTCTTTCGTAAATGACTCCATGTTGTTTCATTTCTGTTCCCTCTACCTAGAATGCCTTCTCCTGCTACTCCTACGCCTTCTCCCCCACAAAAACTTCTCATTCGCCTTCAAATTTTAGAGGAAGCTTCAACACCCAAATGAAGCTGTGTTCAACTCTCTCAGGTGGACTTTCGTGTCTGTTTCTTCCTACTCCTACTGCCTCCTCTCTCCTACTGACACTGTAGCAGTGATCTCATGGTACCATAATTGTTTGCAGGCCTGTCTCCTCGATATTCAGAGCAATGAAGAAATCCAGCCCTTGTTCACTCATTTGAATAGAGTGCCTAGCATGGCATCAGGATACAGTAGCTGCTCAGTAGTCACTAATTTAATGCTTGCATTAAAGAGGTTGTCGTGTTAATAGTGAAACTCAATATATACGCTATATAATTAAATAGGTACATTTTCTGTTTGTGACAAACAGAATCATTTTTAAATTTTATGTTTATTCATTTTTGAAAGAGAGATAGAGCACAAGCAGGGGTGGGGCAGAGAGAGAGGGGGACACAGAATCTGAAGCAGTCTCCAGGCTCTGAGCCATTAGCACAGAGCCCGACGCAGGGCTTGAACCCACAAACCGCGAGATCATGACCTGAGCCAAAGTCGGACGCTCAACCGACTGAGCCACCCAGGTGCCCCCCCCTTTCTTTTTTTATGTTCGATCAGAATCATTTTTGATAGAGAATCATGCCACCCTTCTTTGCCTTACATTCTGCTACTTCTGTGAAGCTTTTTCCCGACACCTTCGGGTGTCACCTGTACTGTTAGTAACATCCTGAATGACACAGGATCATACATTGTCCTACATCATTATTTAATTATTTCATTTCTGATGTTTGCTTTTCCCCCAAAAGACTGAAACTTCCTTAAGATAAGGATCATCCTGTGCTTTATATGATCTCATATACTGGTAGCTCATCAGGATAGGCACTTGGGTGCTGCCTCCTAGAGACACCAGAGTGCTGACTGCATCATTAGGCCAGGCCAGTTCTGGATAATAGTGCTGAAAGTATTAACTTGGAGTTTTGTGGCCATTAAGAAGAAAGGTTACTTGTAAATGTCTAGAGCCATACTACGGATACATAAGCATAATGTGCTCCCAACAATCACAATTAAATAATCTTCAGCATAGTTCTGGTATTATTGCTAATTCTCCCTCCATGAAAAACAGGTTAAAAACAAAGCTCAGATAGACGAGGCTGAGGACAATAATTGTATCCTTCCCTTTTTTTTTTCTGTACCATTTATTTAACCCCAGCTTGTCTGATGCCATCCTTGTTCCTGATGTTTGCTGGAAAGGACGGTGGTTTACATCAGGGCTTTTATCCTCATGCGGAGAACTCTCAGTCTCTCTGGAGTCGTCTCTATGTTTGTAGGTGCAGTCTTTATCCTTCCCTGGGAAATTCACTGGGCTGTTGGCCTCTCAAATAACTCCAGCCACTCCTGTTCCATGTATTGGTGAAATACGAAAAGGCTTTGCAGGACACACTCTGAAGAGCCTCCTGTAATAATTTTGACACCAGGCATAGCCTTTCTTACTCTAAATGAGTGTGTATATTTGCTTTGCAACACCCCCCCCCCACAATAAACCCTCCCTACACCCACCACCCAAGCTGGGATGGAGGTTTTATAGAGAGCTAGAACTTTTGGTGGGAAGAAAAGAACTTGCAAGCTGAGTACCACCTGGAAAAATCCCCCCTCCTGACTTGACACTGTTACTTTCTGTGTTTACTAGCCAACTCTCCCTTCCCCCATTACAATGGTCCAGGTGTTCTGTTTACCCTTTCCACGCCCATTCTGTGAGGGCTGGCCCAGCACGAGAGCAAGCGTGTAAGTGATCCACAAAACCACATACATCGACATGAACAGGTGATGGATTGATCAGTCAACAAGAACTTTGAAATACGTGTATGTTTTCATCCTGGTTCTAATTGGTATGATAGACACAGAAGCACTATGTATGAAGTCTTCACGTTCACAGAACCAACATACTTTGTCGAGAACATCCTGGGGCCAGTCACTGCTCTTCAGATCCTCAGAGGTCGAAGGAGGAGACCCGACGAGAGGGGAACACAGAAAGTACATAGGAAGGGGAAAAACATAATAAAGACCAACCCTAGACAGAAAAGAGTTAATGACTTCTCTGTGGTAGTTGCTAAGGGAGAGAACTAAGTGAGATCTGGGGGAGGGAAGGGCTTCATGGGAGCTGTGGAGGAGATAGTTGTTTGTCATCAGCCCCTGTTAGTAAAGAAAGGTTGAAGAAGATACTTTCAAAAAACATGGTCCTTGTCACAGCCAAGAGCTATCTAAGGAGACCTGACACCTACATGTAATACAGCGTCCCGGACCAGGAAAGGCATTGAGTAAAACTGCAAGTCAACTATGGGCTTTAGTGAACAATAATGTATCAATATTGATTCATTAATTTTAAGATCTGTATCATACTAATGTGAGATGTTAGTAATAGGGAAACTGAGTTCAGAGTGAATGGGAACTCTGTACTGTCTTCTCAATTTTTCTGTAAGTCTAAAACTGTTCTAAACACTAACGCCTACGTAAAAGGGGGGAAAAAATGGCCCACAGCCTACAGAATATCCCTGGCTTGGTGACAGGAAGGAGTCGGCTTGACAATGACCCTTTTTGAAAGAAGCAACTTTGTTGTTAAATGCCATGTTTGTGGCTTGATCATCAATTCCTATAGCAATACTGAGCTCTTGCTTGCTTTTTCCATGGTTGATTTTTGGCAGGCAGCAGCAGCATTTGTGCGCTGATTATAATTTTGCGATGCATTGTCAGTAACTAGGGTGTATAATGGATCTTCATCTCTAATTACTTTTCTCTCCACAGGTGTCTGGAAAGGGTCCAGATGGGAATGCACACAACATCCGCTTTGAGGGGATGGAGAGACAGTACGCCTCCTTACCCAGGTAGATCACTCAGGGGTCTCCCACCACCAGCTCACCTACCGATAAAGCCTTTAGAGAAATCTACATGAAATAGAAATCTGGCTTTGAAACTGGAATATGTTATAATGTGCCTTACCGCCGTCTGCTACAACCTTCGTGCCATCTTCACAACTGTGCTAATAATTGAAACACTTGTGGGTTATTTTTTAAGGGAAGAAAATAGTATATCATTGCAATTGAACATGTCAGCAAGAATATTGGATACAGAATGGAAATCCTAAGCCATTGCTATAAAAATGGTATTGAACATCCTGCACCAAGCTTAGGGACAATAAAATAGTAAATCCTCTGTCCTAGCAGTTACCTACAAGGAAGGGCGAGCCAACCTTAACCTTGGAGCTTCGTGTGGGTGTTAAAAAGCAGGAGAGAAATGTGAACCTGGGAAGATGTTCTTTGCTTGATTTAGAATCTGACCTGGTATTTGCTGTCAGCAAATATTGCTGAGAGGTACAGACACAGTGGGGGAAGGAAATAATCGCGTGGGAAAAGTTCACTTGGTGATTCTGGCCTAACGTGATCCACTTATGCTGTAACTGAACACCCCTGAAAATGAGATACAATTCTCAAAGGTTTGTGCTCTTATCTGTGAGATGAAGAATAATTTTGGTCTGCTATCAGTAGCACATGACAAAGAGGAAAACTTTCCAAGATTATGTCTAGGACGGCTACTATGGGAGTGAATCAAGAGTGTGAGAATTCGTGAGTTCTGGGGGGCGGGGGGGTTGGGCGGGGGAACAAACAAAGAAAGGTTAATGCCAGCCAGAAAACTGAAATGTTACGGAATATCTCCTTTTAAAAAGAAGGGGGAGGATCCTAAATAGAACTTTTTCATCAAAGTGGAATTGTTGAAGTGTTATCCCAGAGGGAGTTACTGCGTTGAGTTTCACATTGGCTACAACTCTGTGTGGGAATTTACAAAAATACCACCCTGGATATTGCAACAGGCATAGCCTAAGTGACCATCTGCTCTTATAAATAGTATGTTGATTTTCAAAAGTAATAAAATCTCAAATCTAGTGGAGAACCAGTTTTTAACATTGATTGGGCAGAATACTTAAAATACAATATTTTAAAAGCTTCTATACAACTGTATTTTATTTATCTCCCGATTTTCATTTTTTATAGGTTGTCTCCTAGTCTTTTCTCATCTTTGATTTCTTTCCTCTCCTTATTTTTCCCTGGCCTACTATTTTGTTTTCGTTTTTAAAAAAATGGAAGTCGTCTCCAAAATTTGTTTTAAATATAACATTTCTGGCTTTCAGTGTTGAAGTGTATGGAAATTGTGGTTAAGGCAGATGGAAAGTAGTATGTTCTTATGAGAGGAAAGAAAGAAAGATAAAACTGGAAACAGTTTAAAGTCTTCCTGGCCAACTTGCACCAGACTGCGGAAATGGATTTTTTTTTTTTTTTTGCACAAATCAAAAGCACAGAAATAACATTGAAAATCCTACAAATTTCACTCATTCACTCCCCATCTATCTATTAATCATCTACTCTGTATCAGGCCCCGAGAATATGGAGACTGGAGACACAGTGCCAGTCCATCCTTGGGACCCTACTGTCTAGGACAGGAGACCGCAAATCACCTTTTTATGACAGCACAGCAGATGCTTAGTTTAGTAATTATTAGCAGAAAGTCTTCTGAATTTCCAGCTCCTATTTATCTTTACTAATAAGCCCTGAAATGCTCAATCATGGCTGACTTTCAACAAGTCTATTTGAGGATCAAACACTGCAAAGGGAGTTTTCTGACAGAGGCAATGCATTTATGCGGTTTCTGGCCCTGGAGCTATCACCGCAATGCAAGAATTGACAAAATCCCGAGAGTGTAACTGTAGCGGGAGGGGAAGCATCTTAGACCAAAAACAATTTTGGCCAGTAGTCCACCCACACCCGTACACGGTGGTAGGAGTGATTAGGATTAGCCACATGAGCACACAGAACTTGGTGGCTCCCTGGCAACCAGAAGTTGGCCACGATGGACAATGCATGGGGCTCAGACAAATGCAGGAAAGGTCCCTGGCGCTTGTTTTTAAGTAGAGGAGCTCCACCTCGAGTTTCCTTCTCAACATCTAAAGGGGAGATGCAAGGCATGCTCACCACTGTGCTCCAGTCCGTGGGAGGCTCCATATTTACCCAGGAAGAGGCACAGTGCAGAGGCAGGGGACCCACTGCTGGCTTCAAGAAGGTATGCAGACTCAGCTCCGTGTGCCAGTGACATTTACCCTGGTTTTCTAGTCCTCCCCACCCTGGAGATTTTACTGTTCACTCGACTGAATCACAGCAGCTCCACTGCTCTCCCCCTTTGCCAGGAGGGAAGTCAGCACATCTCTGTAGGCACCGGATCCCCTCTTTGTCAGAGGCAGGGAGCTTTAAAATATTTATGGAGTTAACTTTTTAATTAAAAATAGGAATAATTCTCTCTATGGGAAGTTGGTGGCCGACCTTCCAGTGGACTTAATAGGCTACTGACCGATGTGGTTCCCATGTGGTTTGTGGAGAGCATGACAGGAGTTTTAAAATTAACTCAGTAATATCGATTTATATGTCAAATTCGGAACCATTGACACCCAGAGAGAAAATGCACCTCGGCACCCACCCCGCCCCCAGCACATGGAGTTAGTCAGTAGCCCTGATCAAGGGGCACCCTTTTATGCTGTCATGGAATTCAGTCCTCTTCACAGTAGGCTCCCGCAACCTGCTGCCAGAGTAGAAAAGACACTTCGACAAGTAAAGCCAGAGCCCTAGCTCACCCAGGAAAAAGACAATTCCTAGCACTTGGTAGTTAGGATGTTGCCTAAGGCTAAGGGCTAAGGATGTTAAGTATTATTGTTAAGCAATGTTAAATCTTCTGCCTCTGAAGGAAAATGACTTTGTTTCTTGTCTCCTGAGGGTGCTGTTTTGGAAAGCAGAGCAGTTGTAATACAGCCTCTACAGCCTCGTTAGCAAACACCAGGCTGTTACCAGGGCCAATGTTTTACCGTCCTGTCCAGCCCCCAGTTTTCTCTGCTGGTAGACACAGTGAAATCAGCATTCTTGCCCAACACAGATTACTACTCACCCTGAGCAAGTAGGGAAGCGGCCATTCCTTAGGCTGCCGTAATGTGTGAACATCAGTGTGTGTATTTTTGCAAACAGCTGCTTTTTCGCTTCAGCCTCCCAGCCCCAGTCTCTTTTCACAGGCCTCTTTGTGGTCAGTCCCTCTAGCAGTGAACTCGCTACTCACCCCAAGCCTCCATTGTTCCCACCTGGCCCATCCCGGGCCCCGTGGGATCCCATTATCCCTTCTCTACAGATGGTTCACTGCACCCGCGCAGGACGTTGCTCTTCCGGGCTCGTAATCAAGTGTTGAGGCCTAAGGAGTGAGCAAAAACATCTCTTCTGTGGTCCTCTATATGGGGGCGGTGAGAGGTTGCTGGAAACCCTCATAAAAATGCCTTCATTGGTTCCACTACAAAATGCACATTATGCAACCCCAGCTGGGCCCCTGCTGCTGTCCAGAAGTCCTGTCGGTCGTGCTGTCGACTCCCTTGACTATCCCACAGTGGCCGTTCCAACCCTGTGCTACTGCCGTTGAATTCTGTGAAAATGACTAAACCCCCCAAGCCCAGTCTCTAGAGATGACCTCACTTCCTCTCCTCTGTGGCCTTGACACATTCAACGTGAGTTCCTCCACTTCTGCTCCCTACAATTCAGATTCGCTGCCTTCACTGACCACGTTGCCTGAGGAGTGACAGCAACGGCATGAACATGGACTCGGGCCATAATTAGAGCCCCAGCTCTGTCACTTACTACCTGCGTGACTTTGGGCAAGTGATCTAACTGCTCCAGTCTCAGTTTCTTAATCTGCAAATGGGGATGATGTGAGGGCCTCTGTGTGGTCCTGGTGTGAGTACTAAGTATAAGCAAAACCCTTAGTGAAAAGCCGGCCTGATGTATTGTAAGGAATTTTTTTTTTCATAATGCTACCTCTTTTTAATTTTATCTCTGGGGAAGATGTGTTTCTTTAGTGAGTCAAACCCATACCACAGAGCTCACTCTCACTGGTTTCTCGGGGATCCTGCACCATCAGCCACTCCTCTCTCGGCTGCACCTTGAAGTCCCTTGGCAGTTGCTTCCCCACCCACCATACCTATTACTGTAAATGCATAGCCTCGGCTGCACAGTTCTCTGAAAGCCCACAGTGTGGACAAGGGGAGAGCCAACACCTGTGTGGCTATATGCTGGGGGTATAACTGAGACTAAAGGATTAGCCAACTCTGGGGAAGGACCAGTGGTCTAGATGGTCAAAAGCAAGAGGACGTAGCAAACCCATATGATCTGAGTAACAAGTTGTGCTAACGGGCATGCTGGGAGACAGTAATTCTTGTGGATGGGGAGTTTCAACATATAAGATGCAGGTGGCCAGACTGCCCCATGCACTTGACTCTAGTCCATCAGAGAAAGCAAACGCCTCTTCTTGTTCCCAGATTTCCTACCTTAGGAAGGGTGGCTCATACCTATTGGCTCTATTTCCATACCACCCACTGACACAGCGGGCTCTAACCCCAGGCATCTGACACTGACGCTGATGCTTCCAGCGGATTCTGCCTCTGGCTCCTTTCCTCATGTAGATTCTCTCTGAGTGGTTGCCTTGATTCCTACAGATTTGGTCCCCAACCTCTATGATGATAATTCCAAAACAAACCTGGCTAACCTTCCTATCTCACTCTTAATGTGACCCCAGTTACAATTGCCTGCCTGACACCTCCATCCTACCCCAAGATACTTCAAAGTTCCCATGCCAAAACTCAAGACCTCGATGTCATGTTTCCTTAGCTCTTCTTACTTTTAACACCCATGACATTGTTTGGCACCTTTCTTGTGCCACTGAAAATACCCTGCATTAGATTATGATGCTTTGCTGCCCCTTTCTACCTCCACTGGATTATAAATTTCTGGAAAAAAGGGACAGTGTTTTA